AAAAAAAAAAAAAAAAAAAAAAAGAATATGAAATAACATTCAAACTCACTAGTAGAGAAATGCAATTTAAAATAACTGAGAGTACACTTAATATACCCATTAGAATTGCAAATACTAGAGAGTTGCATAATATTAATTGTTGGAAAGGGTGTGAGGTAATAAGAACTTTCAATAATAATGCTGAGACTGTAAAGAGCTACAGACCTGGGTTTTCTCGTTAGGTTTTAGTTTTCGGGCTTTTTTTTTTAGTGTCTTTGTTATCAAGGCTGGACTCAAACTCCTGGGCTCAGGCAGTCCTCCCACCTCAGCCTTCTGAGAAGCTGAGACTACAAGTGTGTGCCATGCCCAGTTTACAGCTACAGACTTTCTGAAAAATAATCTGGTGCTACTTAGTAAAATTGAGTATGCATATACCTTACCACAGAAATTCCACTAAGAGGAATGTGTTCCAGAGAAATTCTTGAACTGTCTGACAGGGGACTATGTAAGAGATAACTGCCTAGCATTTTGTGTAGAAGTCAGGAATGGGTAAGTATAACAGATGCCTACCATGGAATCCTATGCTATGCAGCAATTATAAGCAATGAATTAGATTATAAGCAGCAATAAGGATGAATCTTAAAAACTGAATTGATCAAAAAAAGTAAACTAAACCCGCCGGCCACAGTGGCTCATGCCTGTAATCCCAGCACTTTGGGAGGCCAAGGCAGGCAGATTACCTGAGGTTGGGAGTTCAAGACCAGCCTGACCAACATGGAGAAACCCTGTCGCTACTAAAAAAAATACAAAATTAGCCAGGTGTGGTAATCTCAGCTTTTTCTAGAGACAGGATCTCACTACATTGTCTAGGCTGCTCTGGAACTCCTGGCCTCAAGCGATCTTCCCAACTGGGGCATCCAAAGTGCTGTGAAGGACCCCTGTAACCCTAACCTGGACAATGTAGCTAGATCCTGTCTACACACACACACACACACACACACACACACACACACACACAAAAATTAGATGGTGGCAGGTGCCTGTAGTCCCAGCTACTTGAGAGGATGGGATGGGAGGTTCCTTGACTCAGGGGGCTGAGGCTGCAGTGAGCTGAGATCGCACCACTGCACTCCAACCTGGGTGACAGTGAGACCCTGTCTCAAAAATGAATAAATAGTAAAATTAGTAAGAGTGAATGAGCGCTGGGATATGTAAAGGGAGGGGAAGGAGTTAATGAGTAACTCCTAGGTTTCTGGCTTGTGTAATAAGAACCCCTGTGAATGAGGGGGAAATTTTGCCAGAGTTCTGTAAACTTGAAAGTGTTTTTCGCTGGGCGCGGTGGCTCACGCCTGTAATCCTAGCACTTTAGGAGGCTGAGGCGGGCGGATCACCTGAGGTCAGGAGTTCAAGACCAGCCTGACCAATATGGTGAAACCCCGTCTTTAAAAAAAAAAAAGTGTTTTTCATTTCCTGTCCCCCCATTAGGGGTTACTCCTTTCATCTTAAGGAGGATATTCTGGGATCTCTCAGCCTCACAGCCCTGCCCACCAATAATCAGCAGGTGAGCCCTCTCTCCTAAGACCTCTAGATTTGCAAAAGGCAACCTGGAGGCAAGGAAACCCCCAGGTGTGAGTAGCCATTCAATTCTGGTGCTGTGGTAACTGAGTTCAAAAACAGTTTTGTTTCCTCTCCGTGAAATGAAGAAAACCTCACCAGACACCTCACTGGGTTCTGAGGCTCCAAGGAGCACATGTTGTTAGGCTTAGTTGGATTCCCTCCAGCCCTCTCCGCCCATTTAAAGGCAGCTCCTTATCCTGGAGACAACGTGAAGATGTTCTCTTTATTTGTTTTTTTTAAAGACAGGGTCTCTCTCTCTGTTGACCAGGCTGGAGTGCAGTGGGGCGACCACAGCTCACTGCAGCCTCAACCTCTCCTGGGCTCAAAACAATCCTCCTGCCTCAGCGTCCAGAGCAGCTGGAACTACAAGCGCACACCACTGCACTGGGACTATTATTACTTTGTTATTACGTTTGTTATTATTATAGAGACACGGGTGGGGGTGGTTTCACTATGTTGCCCACGCTGGTCTCGAACTTATAGCTCAAGAGATCCTCCCGCCTCGGCATCCCAAAGTGCTGGGATTACAGGCGCGCGCCACCGCGCCCGGACGCAGAGGTTTTCTATGAGCCTCTGTAATGGCGTTCCCAAAGCTTGGTGCCATGCCTTGGTCAAGCCGGGTCGGTGGCTCAAGCCAGCCTCCAGCACCGTTAGCTGCCATCAGAACAATCAACTGTTCCCCTAATGCTGCGACTGCCCTTTCCTGCCAATAGTCGGCCCCTCGCCGGTCCCGAGGCCTCGCGAGAACACAACCGCTCCAGTGGAATACTCAGAGGGCTGCGCCTTTCCCGGCCTCAGAACAGCCCCATCCTTCCTCTTTCCCCGCCTTCCAGCCGCGCTCCGCTCTCGGATTGGCTGATTGAGCCGAGGCAGTTTTTTTTTCCTGGCCAGAAAGTGGTTCGACAACTGGTCCTTTTTTTGGCCCCTCCTGCGAAGCCCTCGGATTGGACGGCTGAGTCCTGCTACACGCGCCTCCACGGGTGCGCGGCCGGGCCAATCAGAAGGTTGGCGTATTTTACAAACTGGGGAAGTAGCTGCAGCCAGCAGTAGCTGAGAGTCAGGCGAAAAGCGGAGAAGGCTGGGTCGGCTCCGAGGGGCTCTTGAGAAGGTGAGGCACAGGGTTCTTGGTGAGAACGAGGGCTGCTGGGCTCAGAGGGAGGAGGGCAGTTCGGGACCCAAGGGCGAAAAAGTAGGCTCGTGGTGTCTGGAGGTAGCACCCATAAGAGCGGTCTTGCAAGCGCCGGAGGCTTGTGGGAGCGTGGATTAGGGCAGAGGTATCAGGGATGGAGGACAGGTGCCCCGAGGACTGGTTGATCTTTGATCTCCGATTCTGCCTGTCTTCTTCTCCGTCTCAATTGTAGCCATCATGACCACCCTCCAAGCCACGAAGGATCCCCTCCTCCGGGGTGTATCTCCTACCCCTAGCAAGATTCCGGTACGCTCTCAGAGACGCATGCCTTTACCCACTGTTACATCGTGCGCCCTGGACCAGGAGAACCAAGATCCAAGGGTAAGAGGGGCCTAGTAGGGGAAGACGATAGTCACACCAATAATGTGCCCTAACTCTAAACCCCACCTTTTTGTTCCCCCTCCCTTCCCTAGAGATGGGTGCAGAAACCACCGCTCAATATTCAACACCACCACGTTGATTCAGCAGGCCCCAGGCCGAAAGCCAGGCACCAAGCAGAGACATCACAAAGATTGGTGGGGACCACTCAGCATCGAAACCCCTTGGAGGAGCTCAGGCCTAGCCCTGGAGGTCAAAATGTGGGGCCTGAGCCCCCTGCCCAGACAGGTACCTGTTGGAGCCCTGGGACCACAGCCTCCAAGGCTGAGTAGGGGACTAGGAAGAGTAAAAGTGGGGTTTTGGGATTTTGCACTCACTCCTGCTTACTGTAACAGTCCTGGTCCCAGTTCCTGGAAAGCTCTTTGCTCTTAGAAGGCCTCCCTTTCCTCCAGCAAAATGTCATCTTGCAGGTGTGATGGCTTGTGCCTGTAATCAGCTACTCAGGAGGCTGAAACTGAAGGATCACCTGAGGCCAGGAGTTGGAGACCAGCCTGGGAGACAGAGGGAGATCCCATCTCTTTAAAAAAAAAAAAAAAAAAAAGTCACTTCTTCTGAAGTCTTTTCCAGTTCCCCACATAATAATCAGTTGCTCTGTGTTCTCTTAATACTTTGCAGTACTTTTTTTTTTTTTTTTTTTGCCCAGCTGGCACATTTATTGGCATTAAACACAAGACCCTTCCCTTTCCAGCACCAGGAATCCACACCCAAAGGGTGTCCTTCTGCCCCATTTCTGCAAAAACTCTCAGGCCTTAGCAGTAGCCTGAGCTGCCCCCAGGGCTGTGAGCTGCTGAATCTTCTGGCTCATCATTTCCATGACAGCCTGTTTCATGGTCTGCTTCTCCTGGAGAGCTGGTTGGATTTTCTCCATCTGCTTGGTTAGAAAATCTATCTTCCTCTTGAAGAAGTCCTTGGCATCCTCAGCTGTCTTCTCTACATAGTACCCAGTTCCCACATCGATGAGCACATGCTCCACATCATGCAGCTTCCCAGGGACATACATCCTCGTTGCTCTTGTTCAGCACGTTCAGACAGTCCTTGGCTTCCACATACTTGGTCTGTACCACTTTGTGTTGGGCAATGGACATGGACAAGAACTCCACTTCCTGGTCCAGCTGGTTTTTGAGCATTTCTAGCTGCAGCAGATTCAGCTCCGTGATGTTAATCGATTGCGCCATGTTGAGAAGGAGGACTAACGAAAAGCTGCAATACTTCTTTTATAACATGTATATACCTTGGCTTGAGTGTTATCTGTCTATAGTTTGATGATAGCTTCTTGAGGATAGGGGCTTTGTCTTATTCTTTTGGGGCCCCAGTGCTTAGAATAATGTCTTATGTAACATTCTACAAACATTTGGCGGCCAGGTGTGGTGGCTCACGCCTGTAATTCCAACACTTTGAGAGGTCAAGGCAGTAAGATCACTTGAGCTCAGAAGTTTGAGACCAACCTGGGCAACATAGTGAGACCCCAACTCTATTTTCTCTCTTCTCTTCTCGAGATAGTTTCACTCTAGTCCTCAGGCTAGAGTGCAGTGGTGCAATCTCAGCTTACTGCAACCTCCGCCTTCCAGGTTCAAGCGATTCTCATGTCTCAGCCTCCCCTGAGTACCTGCCACCATGCCTGGCTAATTTTTGGTTTTTGTTGTTTTTTATTTTTCTGAGATGGAGTCTCACTGTCACCCAAGCTAGAGTCCAGTGGCACTATGTCAGCTCACTGCAAACACTGTCTCCTGGGTTCAAGCAATTCTCCTGCCTCAGCCTCCAGAGTAGCTTGGATTACGGGTGCCTACCACTCCCAGTTATTTTTTTTTTTTTTTTTGAAATGGAGTCTCGCTCTGTTGCCCAGGCTGGAGTGCAGTGGTGCAATCTCAGCTCACTGCAACCTCTGCCTCCTGGGTTCATGCAATTCTCTGCCTCAGCCTCCCAAGTAGCTGGGATTACAGATGCCCACCACTACACCCAACTAATTTTTGTATTTTCACCATCTTGGCCAGGCTGGTTTTGAACTCCTAACTTCATGATCCACCTCCTCGGCCTCCCAAAGTGCTGGGGTTACAGGTGTGAGCTATTGCACCAGCCAATTTTTATATTTTTAGTAGAGACAGGGTTTCACCATGTTGGCCAGGCTGGTCTTGAACTCCTGAACTCAGGTGATCTGCCTGCTTTGGCCTCCCAAAGTGCTGGGATTATAGGCATGAGCCACTGCACCCAGCCATCTATTTCTAAAAAAAAAAAAGGCCAAAATCAAGGTGACTTTGCTAGGGTGCCTCTGCCCTCAGCCTTCCCCCTTCCTGTTCCTTCTCACCTTTCCTTCTCCTCTTTCCTTGCAGAGGCTCCAGGGGCCATAGAGTTTGTGGCTGATCCTGCAGCCCTGGCCACCATCCTGTCAGGTGAGGGTGTGAAGAGCTGTCACCTGGGGCGCCAGCCTAGTCTGGCTAAGAGAGTATTGATTCGAGGAAATCAGGGACGCACCACCCAGAGGGGCCAGGTAATGAAACAGGATGTGAGGGGACCAGGTTGGGGGGCGCTGAGGGGGGCATCCTGAGCTGTGCTCATGGTCCCTGTTGGTGTCCCAGGGTGTTCGGGCCTCTGCATATTTGGCCCCCAGAACGCCCACCCACCGACTGGACCCTGCCAGGGCTTCCTGCTTCTCAAGGCTGGAGGGACCAGGACCTCGAGGCCAGACTTTGTGCCCCCAGAGGCTACAGGCTCTGGTGAGTGCCCTTGAGGGATTGATACTTGGTGATTCTGGGAGCTTCTTCCAGGGACAAAGCTGGGCTCTGGGAGAGGAGGTACCTAATGATGAGGCAAGGGATCCTATGCGGGGAGATGGGGTTGGTGGTGAAGCCTGAGGGTTTGGGGTCCACCTCTGATTCTGCTTTCATCTCTTGCTCCTGTGGATCAGATTTCACCTTCAGGACCTTCCTTTCACCCTTCCACTCGCCCCAGTTTCCAGGAGCTAAGAAGGGAGGCAGCTGGCAGCAGCCGGTGAGAAAGGAGAGGGTGTGGGAGAAGGTTATCTGGAAAAGAATGAACCAGTGTCTGATACAGGACTCCCCCAGAGTTGGGGCCTTCTAGTAGCTTTAGGACTCCCCACCAACTCAGGAGGGGAAGCAAGGAACCTATGACTGCCTGGGATGAGCTCTTGGAATAGGGTTCAGGCCTTCACAGCCAGGCCTCAGTGTGACATCAGTTTCCTCAAGTCATGGGGGGACAGGTAGGACAAAAATCTCTTTTGTTTAGTGGCTAGATTATAGACTGTGGCAATAAATGGGATTTGGGCTTAAATCCTAACTCTTACCACTTTTACTAGTTGTGCAAGCTTGTCTTCACCTCTCTGAGCTTTGGTTTCTTTGTCAAGTGATAATAACATTTGTACCATCATTAGAGGTTGTCATGAGAATGAAATCAGACGATGTTTGTAAAGCACTTAGCACATGCGCAGCTTATGCTTGGTACTCAGTGACTGCTGGCTACTGTCCTTATTGTCATCAGGACTTCCGTGAGCCAGGCCTCAGGATTGCTCCTGGAGACCCCAGTCCAGCCTGGTGAGTGTGTCTGGCTGTGGGGAGAGCACAGCGGTAGGTGGGCTGCCTAAAGCAGGGAACAAGACCAGAGAAAGCTCAGCAGGCTGGGAGAGGGCACGAGGAAGTGGGAGGCGGGAGGCTAGGTCAGAAGGAGAAGGAGACGAGACTTTCTAGATGGGCCAGAAGTTGGCACAGTTTCACTTGTGTCAAAGGAGATGGTCTCCATTTCTGCCCTCTCTCTGCTACTTCCTGCAAGATTTATCTTCCACTTGCTGTTTATCCTCAGTCCCTAAGTGCCATCACCACAATCCCAGCCTACACAGACATTCAGATTAATAAGTGTTTACTGAGATAGTGTTGGGTGTTGAGGGACTGCTGGATGGGTTCCTGCCCCTAATAGTGCAATGGGGGCTATTAAACTAGTATACCAGGCCGGGTGCAGTGGCTCAAGCCTGTAATCCCAGCACTTTGGGAGGCCGAGGTGGGTGGATCACGAGGTCAAGAGATCGAGACCATCCTGGTCAACATGGTGAAACCCCGTCTCTACTAAAAATACAAAAAATTAGCTGGGCATGGTGGTGCGTGCCTGTAATCCCAGCTACTCAGGAGGCTGAGGCAGGAGAATTGCCGGAACCCAGGAGACGGAGGTTGCGGTGAGCCGAGATCGCGCCATTGCACTCCAGCCTGGGTAACAAGAGCAAAAAAAACTCTGTCTCAAAAAAAAAAAAAAAAAAAACTAGTATACCCTCTTCAGAAGTTGCAGAACCCTGTGCCAAACTTTGGTGGGTGTTCTAGACTCTACAACAAATGTCCTGTTTCTTCCTAGCTTTCTCTCTTCCTAAAGGAGAACATGAGGTTGTCACTCACTCAGATGAAGGAAGTGTGTCCTCCCTTGGTCTGGCCCAGCGAGTACCATTAAGAAAAAAACAAGAAATGACACATGGCAAGGTAAGACATGACTCTCCTGGGCTGAGGGATGGGAGGTGTGGGAGGTGCCTGGGAGAATTTCGCAACAGCAGCCGACGCTGAGGGTTGTGTGTAGATCCAGGCAGTCCTGAGCCTTGGGATCCTCTTGGGTGGGTTTATCCCAGATGCACCCAGTCCCTCTCCAACGTGAGACTGACCTATCTTTATCAGATGTGTGGGGTCTGAGGTGGAAGCTCACAGACTGGTACGTATTTTTATCACCATCAGATCAGTGCTAAGGGTGAGATAGATCTGACACTAGTCAGCCATAAGCATTCATCCCTTCGCTCCACAAATATTTGCTGAGTAGTACCACCCTACTGAGTGCCAGGCACTGTTCAAGGCTCTAGATATACAGCAATAAAGAAATTCATATTCTAGAAGCGGGAGACAAGAAATAAACACATGTATAAAATAAATAGTATGTCGGTGATAAGTTCTCTATTAAAAATAATAGTAAAAAGGCAATAAAGGGGAATTGGGAGCAGGGGAGTTGGTATTGCAATTTAAAATAGATCGGTTGCCAGGTGCAGTGGCTTACACCTGTAATCCCAGCACCTTGGAAGGCTGAGATGGGCAGATCACGAGGTCAGGAGTACGAGACCAGCCTGGCCAACATAGTGAAACCTCATCTCCGCTAAAAATACAAAAATTAGCCGGGCATGGTTGCACATGCCTGTAGTCCCAGCTACTTGGAGGCTGAGGCAAGAGAATCACTTGAACCTGGGAGGCAGAGGTCATAGTGAGTCAAGATTGTGCCACTGCACTTCAGCCTGGGCAACAGAGCGAGACTCCATCTCAAAAAAAAAAAAAAAAGATGGGTCAAGGAACTGTGTTTTTTGTTTGTTTGTTTATTTTTGAGACAGAGTTTCGTTCTTGTTGCCCAGGCTGGAGTGCAATGGCACGATCTCAGCTCACTGCAACCTCTGCCTCCTGGGCTCAAGCCATTCTCCTGCTTCAGCCTCCCAAGTAGCTGGAATTACAGGCACCTGCCACCATGCCCAGCTAATTTTTGTATTTTTAGTAGAGATGGGGTTTCACCATGTTGGCCAGGCTGGTCTTGAACTCCTGACCTCGTGATCCTCCTGTCTCAGCCTCCCAATTCCTGGGATTACAGGCGTGAGCTACCATGCCCAGCCAGGGTCAGAGAACTCTCATTGAGAAGATGGTGTTTAAGTGAAGACAGGGGTTGGAGGAGTGATACATGTTGATATCTGGGGGAACATTCCAGACTAAGAGAACTGAAGAGGCAAAGGCCCTGGGGAGAGAATGTACCTGGTGTGTTTGAGGATCAGCAAGAAGAATCCAGTGAGATTGAAGCAGAGTAAGGAGAGCGGTAGGAGATACGGTTTTAGTGATAACATGATCAGATTGGGTAAGGACTTGTACACCAGTGTAAGTCCTTGGCTTTTCTTGGAATGAGTGGAAAGCCATGGGAGAGGGGATGATCAATAAAGTGACATGATTTGACTTAGGTCTTAAAAGAATCACACCGGCTGCTGTAGTGAAAACAAGATGTAGGAAGACAAAGGGGGCAGGGGTCACTCTTCCACCTTTTTCTTCTTCACAGGACAGCCTTGACTACCACCTGATGTCCTCCCCTGCCCCTGTGTCCCAGCGCTTGCCTGGCCATACAGTGCCATGTCCATCACCCTTTGGACGGGCTCAGCGTGTACCTTCCCCAGGCCCTCCATCTCTGGTTTGTGTCAACAACTCAGGGCGGGCAGGGGCAGAACAGTCTGGCTGGAGGTCCTTGCTAGGTCTGGGTTTTCCCTGCTCAGCCACCCACATCTCTCCCCAGAAATCATGTTCAGTGTTGCGGCATCTCACCCTTCAACCTAAAACCCGGTTCACACACGTGCCATCAACCCCCAGAGTTCAGCAGGTAAGAGAGGGCATGGGAAAGTGGCTGGCATAAGCCATGGCTAGGGGAGAGAGGAGATGGATGGGTACAGGAGAGAGGAGACAGAAGCAAGAGGAGGTTGAGTGCCATATGTGGGTGTCCAGCCTTGCTGACATCTCACTTCTGTGCCAGGCCCAGTGGCTGAGTGGTGTCTCCCCTCAGTCCTGCTCTGAAGATCCTGCCTTGCCCTGGGTAAGTATCAGAAGCCTCCCCATACTGAGATCCCTTGCCCTGTGCTGCCAGCCTGGAGGCCCAGGAGTTTGAGGCATGTGTGCTTTCTGGGCCAGGCATGGGATCACACCTGCCTTCAGGAGGCTGAGGTGGGAGGACTGCTTGAGCTCAGATCTTTGAGACCAGCTTGGGCAACCTAGTGAGACCCTGTCTCTACTAAAAATTTAAAAAGATTAGAAAGTGCTCTCTGGAAAAGCTGCCTAACTCTCCCTGCTTCTTGGTGCCCCTCCTAATGTATGTCTAGGGCCTCTCAGGGGCTTTGATCATTCCTCATGAGGGTGGGACTCAGGCTGGTCTTTCTCCTGCCCCAGCCTGGCTTTCTTGTGTGCCTTGTTCTTTGGTGACAGGAGCAGGTTGCAGTCCGGTTATTTGAACAAGAAAGTTCTATAAGATCGCTGGAGGGGTCAGGGAAACCACCTGTGGCCACTCCTTCTGGATCCTACTCTAACAGAACCCCCAGCCTCCAGGAGGTGAAGATGCAGGTGAGTCTGTGGGGTGACAGCTTTGATGTCTATTGAACAATAACTGGGCTGGGGAAGAGGGAAAAGAGATGGGGGGTCAGGAATAGGACAATATGAGTAGACTACTGTACCCACATCTTGATGTCACACTGGGGTGTTCTCTCCCACCACAGCGCATTGGGATCCTGCAGCAGCTGTTGAGACAGGAGGTGGAGGGACTGGTAGGAGCCCAGTGTGTCCCCCTTAATGGAGGCTCCTCTCTGGATATGGTTAATCTTCAGCCCCTGCTGACTGAGATTTCCAGAACTCTGAATGCCACAGAGCATAACTCTGGGACTTCCTACCTTCCTGGACTGTTACAACACTCAGGGCTGCTAGAGCCCTGCCTTCCAGAGGACTGCAGGGAACCACAGCCCTGCCCTCCAGCAGAGCCTGGGCCCCCAGAGGCCTGCTGTAGGAGTGAGCCTGAGAAACCAGGGCCCTCCCTGCAGGCACAGCTTGAGGTACCAGAGTCCTGCCCTGCAGCAAAGCCCAGGCCCCCAGAGGCCACCTGTAGGAGTGAGTCTGAGACATCAGAGCCCTTCTCCCAGGAACAGCTTGAAGTACCAGAGCCCTGCCCTCCAGCAGAGCCCGGGCCTCCAGAGTCTGGTAGGAGTGAGCCTGAGACATCAGAGCCCTTCTCCCAGGGACAGCTTGAGGTACCAGAGCCCTGCCCTCCAGCAGAGCCCAGGCCTCCAGGGTCCTGCTGTAGGAGTGAGCCTGAGATAGCAGAGCCCTCCCCACAGGAACAGCTTGAGGTACCAGAGCCCTGCCCTCCAGTAGAGCCCGGGCCCCTTCAGCCCAGCACCCAGGGGCAGGCTGGACCCCCAGGGCCCTGCCCTAGGGTACAGCTGGGGGCATCAGAGCCCTGCAGCCTAGAACATAGAAGTCCAGAGTCCAGCCTACCACCCTGCTGCAGTCAGTGGGCTCCAGCAACCACCAGCCTGATCTTCTCTTCCCAACACCCACTTTGTGCCAGCCCCCCTATCTGCTCACTCCAGTCTCTGAGGCCTCCAGCAGGCCAGGCAGGTAAGGAGTTGGCTGGGAAGGAATGTGAACATGGGAGGTCCTCATCTCACTGTGAGCTGTGCCCCTGCCCTACCCCTACCCCTGCCCCAGGCAATCCCATGCTTCCACTGCTTCCATACCTTCCACCCTGCCCCAGCCTGGCTCTCCCTCAGGAAGCGGGGAGGAGCTGCACTTCCAGCCTTTTGCTCCCAAATGGCTTGGTCCTGGGTGGGGGAGGAGGAGAGGAAAGGACATGCTGGAAGTATAGGACCCCAGAGCCCCCTCTAAACTCTCCATGGCCCTCAGGCCCCAGCAGCCTGGCCCCTCGAACCCTAGCCCTGAGGCAGCGCCTCAAAGCGTGTTTAACCGCCATCCACTGCTTCCACGAGGCTCGTCTGGATGATGAGTGTGCCTTTTACACCAGCCGAGCCCCTCCCTCAGGCCCCACCCGGGTCTGCACCAACCCTGTGGCTACATTACTCGAATGGCAGGAAGCCCTGGTGAGACTCCAACCCCCAGCCTAACTGTGGCTGCACAGTGAGCCTGATGGCAGGTGGGGGGCGGGGGCAGGGGGCCACCTGGGCTCCTTCACAAAGAGGTCAGCAGGAAGGCTTGGCTACAGTGCAAGGTTGGCTGGGCTGTGACAAGTTCTCTCTCTCCAGTGTTTCATTCCAGTTGGTTCTGCTGCCCCCCAGGGCTCCCCATCATGAGGCACCACTCCTGCGCTGCGTCTTCCTTTTAGCCCTTATTTATTGTCGGTCTGCCCATGGGACTGGGAGCCGACCACTTTGTCCTCAATAAAGTTTCTCAAGTATCCATGTGTCTAGCTAATGAGTTCTAAGTGTTCAAACAGGCCAGCTACTGTTACTCTCCCGTTGCCCACATGGTGGCAGTGTCCTCCAGCTCAGAGTCCAGCCCTGGGCTCTCAGGATCCCCCAGGCTCCCATCCAGAAGCCATCCTGAATCCTGAAAGGAAGGGAGGCATCCCACTCCCGCCTAGCCCACAGCCTCGAAAACTCTGTAAATATGTTGGCAAGCAATTGTGGGATCCACTCTTCCTCTCACTCCTTGAGAGCAGTCCCACTTATATGCAGGAGCCCTCAGGTACTCCTTCACCCCCTAGAGCTCCTCTTCTACCTGCATTGGGCAGAAGAGCAGAAGCACCAGACCCAGACCTTTGGAATCTTCCCTTGTTAGTGTCACTCAGGTTGGTGTCTTCCTCCACCTACACCGTGAGGCCCTAAAGCTCTCCTGAAGCTAAGACCCTCCCCCTTCCTTTCCATAGCAGAGTAGAAGCCTCTCCCTTTCCCGCCAGAGGCAGGCCTAAACCTTTGCCTCTGGCAGGGACTGACAGCCCGGTAGGAGCCCTTCAGAGGAATGATGGAAATGGCCAGCCACTTTCCCCCCAGTCTATGCTCCAAGTTAAGCAGCCACACACAATCCCCCAACCTCACTTTATTGGAAGAGGCAGCAGCAGCTGTAGCCCCCGGGCCTAGCCCGGATGGGGGTGGAAAGGGGACTGTACAGAATGTGTTTTAAATGCCAGGAAAGAATTCACTGGTCCCTCCAGTTCACAGGAAGGCTGCCAAGGCTGGAGCCTGAGCATGAAAGTGGAGATGAGGGGAGGAGGGGGTGGTAAGGGAAAGTTATCAGGATCGAGAACCTGGCTACCCTGTCTTAATGTCTTCTTTTGCCTAAATGGGCTCCTCCTGTTTCTTTTATTTCCCTCACAAGCTGCGGGGGCTTCCCTCGGCTTTCTGGGCCTCTGGCCCTGCTAGTGAAACTGCTCCCCATCTCTATACAAAAGAGAGAGCCACGACCTCTGCCCCTCTGGGGTCCAGCGGGCACTTGGGTGCGGGTAGTCCCTCTGGAAGTCGCTCTGCTCCTCCGGCCGGGTCTCCTCCTCCTCCTCCTGGTCATATACCCTTGAGCACCAAGAGTCCGCCCATTTAGGCCGCCTCCGGGAACGAGAGGGTCCACCCCTCCGGCAGGCTCTCAAAGGGCGGGGTGGCGCCTCGGGTGGGGCAGGCTGGAGGTGGGTGAGGACAGGAGCGAAGGGAGGATGGGGGACGCGGGGCGGGGCCGGCTCAGTCAGGGTAGATGATGAAGCCGGAGAAGGTGCTGTACTTGTTGGTGTTGCCGCCATGCACCTTCCCGCCGTCCAGCTTGATGAAGACCTCGTCGCCCACGTCCAGGTGCAGAATGACGCTGTTGCTGGCGTAGTCGTAGTTCTGGTCCGCGTCCTGAGCAATGGCACTGGCCCGGACCTAGCGAGGGAGAACAAAACAACCCGCTCATGCTCTGTGTGGAGCTGGAGCGATGAGAGGGGTCGGGGCGGCTGGGCGTGCGAAGGCTGCAGGGCAGCGGCACTGGGGGCTGGGGAGGACCAGGGAGAGTAGGACGTCGTGGAGCTGCCCCGGCTCTGCCATTCACTAGCTGTGTGACGCGGGGCAAATTCCGCGCCTTTTCTGGACTTCAAGTTGACCTATAAAATGAGGGATAGGGCCGGGCGCGGTGGCTCAAGCCTGTAATCCCAGCACTTTGGGAGGCCGAGGCGGGTGGATCACGAGGTCAAGAGATCGAGACCATCCTGGTCAACATGGTGAAACCCCGTCTCTACTAAAACTACAAAAAATTAGCTGGGCATGGTGGCACGTGCCTGTAATCCCAGCTACTCAGGAGGCTGAGGCAGGAGAATTGCCTGAACCCAGGAGGCGGAGGTTGCGGTGAGCCGAGATCGCGCCATTGCACTCCAGCCTGGGTAACAAGAGCGAAACTCCACCCCCCCCCAAAAAAAAAAAAAAAAAAAAAAATAGTAAAATGAGGGATAATAATAGAACCCACCTCATAGGATGTTAGGATTAAGTGAATTACATGGTGTGTCCAGAACAGTGGTTTGCATTCTTAAATTAATTTTAATGCATTTTCACATTCTATTCTCATTTTAAAAATAAAAGCCACGCCTGTAATCCCAGCACTTTGGGAGGCTGAGGCAGGTGGATCACCTGTGGTCAGGAGTTCGAGACCAACCTGACCAACAAGGCGAAATCCCGTCTCTACTGAAAATACAAAAATTAGCCGGGTGTGGTGGCAGGTGCCTGTAGTCCCAGCTACTCGGGAGGCTGAGACAGGAGAATTGTTTGAACCTGGAGGCTGAGGTTGTAGTGAGCCGAGATCGTCCCACTGCACTCCAGCCTGGGTGACCGAGCAAGACTCCGTCTCAAAAAAAAAAAAAAAAAAAAAAAAAAATTAAAATGTGCCTGTAGGATAATTTCTAAAATTCTGAACCGGCTCGGAGCTCCTCTCAGTCCTCATGGAGGGTTGGCTTCCCCGGTGGTGGGGCATAGGTGTGCCTGTGCGAGTGTAGGGCTCGGGCCGTGCAAAGGTGCACTGTTGCGCTCTTGCCTGTGGGCGCAGATTTCCCGACCGAGCACCCGCTGGTGCCCAGGCGTGGGAGTCGCCTTCTGCCAGAACAGGAAGCCCTTCCTCCCCTCCGGGCTCATGGCGGTCGCTTCGGGCCTCCTCCAGCCCCCCTCTTCCAGAGTCCCACAGGGACTGGTTATTAACTCATTAATTATTCATCATTATTCTAATCACTATTTACCGTCTCCAGGGCCGCAGCGCCCGCTCCGAGGAATACAGAGTGGGAGCTGCACGGTCCCTTCCCCCTCCGAAACCCGCACGATGCTTTAGTTTCACACTCGCCCCTCCGCCTCCTCCCAGATACCCTGTATAGACCAAGCACACCTACTCGGTGTCATAGGCAGACCAACACCACTCTACTCTCACACCTTCGCACTCAGCACTCACACTCCCTGACACACTCTCACCCCATGTGGACGCACACTCACTCCCTTTCCTTGGGTTCCTGCGGCAGCCCCTCTGGGATGAGACCCCAAAGCAGGTCTGGGGGCAGGCAGGCCCTGCAGCGGTATTAGGCTCCCGCAGGCCTAAAGCTCCTCGGTCGCCACCACCCCCTTCACACAGGGTACTGAGGTCACCACTCAGCCCCAACGTCCCCCTTCGGCCTGCACAGCTCTGGCGCCTTCTCCCACCCGACCCCACACCTGCGGCCTCTGGTTCCCACTCTGTATGAAATTTCGGTGCTAGAGCTTAGTCCTTGGGGCTATTCCCCCGAAACAGAGGCGACAGTGACTTCAACTACCCACAAGGGCAGGGAGCCGTGGAACCTGAATACTGAGAGGTTGCTAGGGAGAGTGTGGGGCCTATAGGACCAAGCCAGGGTCCAAGGCTTTTTTACCTGTCCCTTGCCTCTTCCTCTCCCAAATTCATTCCTTCCAGTCACCTGGCTGACCTTTGAGCTGCCAGGCCACAGACTCAGCTGAAAGCAAGGCTGTTCTAGGCCCCCAGCCTGGGGTGAGCAGTAGGACAGCTGCTTGGCAAGTGAAACGAGCAAGCGAATGTTTTCTTCCTTTTTACCTTTTCCTCAAGCACCCAAGCTGAATGTCCCCAACATGGGAAAGGCTGCTGACTTCCTACTCCCTGTGACACAGATTTCATTCTAATTCAAAGGAGCCTAGACTCTAGTTAGCTGGTACAACGCGAGGCTGGGAGACCCAAAGGCCAGGGAGGGCCTCCGCGGAATAAAAAGGATAGCCCAAGACAGGACAAGAAAAGAGGCGAATTGGCAGGGCGAGACACCAAAGACATCTGGTGTTGCCCATAGTTGCAATGCGAGTCGCAGCTGTAGAGACACACAGGTTTGAGTCCTGAGTTCTAATTCCAACGCCATTTCTACACTCCGTGAGGCCCTAGGTAGGTGGTTTTCCTTCTCTAGGCCCCAATTTCCTCTGTGGGTTAATGAAGCGATCTATCGCTCTTGGCAGCCTGGGGTTCCTGGATTCAGTGAAGCCGTTTCGGGCAAGGATCTCAGGTTGTGGGATGAGTGTCGAGAGATCTAGAGAGCGACCAGTCTGAGCTGGGCTTGGGGAGGGGCATCTCACCTGTCCGTTCTTCATCAGGTCTGCCCACATGCTGGTGCCGTCGCCGCCGCGCATGAGCACGTGGTAAGCGAAGAAGTAGACGCCTGGCATGGGGCAAGTAAACTTGCCGCTGGCTGCTTCGTAGGCGTTGCCCACATTGGTCACCACGTCGTCGAAGCGCAGCACTTCGTATCCCTCGTGGGGCCGCCGCAGGCCCGCGTAGAAAGCAATGCGAGGCACGTAGCCGGCAGGGGGCGCCACCCCGCCCGGACCTGGGCCTGGAGGACCCGGGGGGCCTGGTCTGCCGGGCTCTCCCGGCGGCCCTCTTGGACCTGGAGGCCCCGGGGGCCCCCGCAGGCCAGCTTTCCCGCGCCTGCCCACCTCTCCCTTGGCGCCCGGCGGAAAGGGGGGCACGGAAGCAGGTGCGCCGTCGGGGCCCGGGCCTCTGGGCCCATGCGGGTCACAAACCATGCGGCAGCGACCCAGCATCTCGTAGTGAGCTGGGCCGCGGGAGCTGTGCACCAGCAGCGGGATGGCCACCAGCAGCAGCAGCACCATGGCCACCCCGACGGCCGCGCCCGCCACCCTCTTGCGGCGGCTCAGCCGCGACGCGGCCAGGGCCAGCAAATCTTCCTCACTCTTGGGCGCAATGGCTGCCGGGGCCCAGGGCTCTCCGCGGGCCCCGGAGGCGGTGACCCGCCTTGGGCCAGGGTCTGCACTCCCCCGACGGCTGCCCCCCGCTCCCCCTACCCTGCCTCTGCGGCCTCGCAGCTGCAGTGCCGCTCCCCGAGCAGTCAGTCGAGGGGAGGCCCCCAGTGGGCTAGGTCAGGGGTAGCTCCCGACGGTTCAGAGTCCCTGGTCCTCTAGTACCCTCC